CATTTGTACACAAGCACTTATAAATTTTGTCACTTTTTAGTTGTCTGTCCTCCATGTGATGTAACTGAATGGGACTCTTTCATTTGACTGTTTCTCTTCAGTTCTCCCTGTACTTTATCAACTTATATCCTCTCCTCTCTAATAGAATACAGAGAATCCCCTTTAATAAATCTGCCCCTAAGGGATGTCTCTCTCTGAACCATGTGCTCCTCCGCACCTGTCACCTTTCATAGAATCATAGAATATCAGGGTTGGAAAGGACCTCAGGAGGTCATCTAGTGCAACCCCCTGCTCAAAGCAGGACCAATTCCCAACTAAATCATCCCAGCCAGAGCTTTGTCAAGCCTGACCTTAAAAACCTCTAAGGAAGGAGATTCCACCACCTCCCTAGGTAACCCATTCCAGTGCTTCACCACCCTCCTAGTGAAAAAGTTTTCCTTTCCCCCAGCCCTTAGTTTAAAAACACCTTTACGACCTTTTTAATTTTACATGCCAGAAATCTGGTTCCATTTTGGTTTAGGTGGAGCCCATCCTTCTTGTATACGCTCCCCCTTTCCCAAAAGGTTCCCCATTTCCTAATAAATCAAAATCCCTCCTCCCTACACCATTGTCTCATCCATGCATTGAGACCAACCAGTTCTGCCTGTCTAACTGGCCCTGCGCGAGGAACTGGAAGCTTTTCAGAGAATGCTCCCATGGAGGTCCTGGACTTCAATCTCTTACCTACCAGCCTAAATTTGGCCTCCAGGACCTCTCTCCTATCCCTCCCTATGTCATTGGCACTTACATGTACCACGACCACTGGCTCCTCCCCAGCACTGCACATAAATCTGTCTAGATGTCTTGAGAGATCTGCAACCTTTGCACCTGGCTGGCAGTTCACCATGTGGTTCTCCCAGTCATCACAAACCCAGTTATCTGTATTTCTAAAGAGCAAATTCCCCCATAACTATTACCTGTCTCTTCCTAATAACTGGAGTTCCCTCCCCTGGAGGGGTGTCCTCAGTGTGAGAGGGTACCATGGCATTACTGGGAAGAAGAGTACCAACTATGGGGTCATTGCCTTCTGCTCCAGCTTGATGTTCTCCTTCCCTGAGACTTTCATCCTCCTCAACAGCACAGAGGCTGTCAGACTGGGGATGAACCCGCTCTACTGGGTCCCGGAAAGTCTCCTCTATGTACCTCTCTGTGTCCCTCAGCTCCTCCAGTTCAGCTCCTCTGGTCTCCAGAGCCTGTACTCTGTCTCTGAGAGCCATGAGCTGCTTGCACCGAATGCACACATACGCCACCTGCCCACAAGGCAGGTAATTGTATATGCTGCAGTCAGTGCTATAACCTGAATATCCCCCACTCTGCTGCTGGACTTCTGTCTGCATTCCTTTACTCCTGCAGCCTTTTTTGGGGAGTGGAATGGGGGGGTTGTTGGCCTCAATTTAGAGAATGTTAGGTGTATCTCTCTCTAAACTCCCTTGCAAACTGCCTTGTTCACTAGTTCCTCTGGTCGCTTAGTGGCTGGCTATTTAGACCCGTTCTCCCTAAGAAGACCTGCCCCCTGGTTAATGGATCCTAAAAGGATGAAGGATCAAAGCCTCCTTAAGAAGGTCTCAGCCTTCCCAAGCAGACCACTAGGCACAGCACACGGCCCCCAAACAGACCATATTATACTTTAGTCAAGCAACATGCACACAAATAAACAAACTCACCACAAGATCACGTAGTTGCTCCTCCGTCACCTGGAGAATTCCCTTGCAAAACTCCCATTTGCTGCTCCTGTCCGCTAGCTCCCACTGAATCTTGTGCATGTTCCTGATAAGATGCTATTATATTAATTAACAAAGAAATATATATTTGCTTTTACACAATAATCAAATTCATCCATATGCCAATGAGAGAGATTTAAAACCAGTTATATGCATAAACTCACTTTCCTTAATAATATACAGTTTAAATAACAGTTAGACCTGGCCCAGCTAGGTTTTTATGCCTCTATACTTAATTGCATACTCAATTGTCTGTGTATCGTAGGTTAAAGTATAGTTGACCAGTCTGTAATTTATAAAGCACTTTGTCTTTTCTTCTTCTGATGCCCAGGGAACTTCTTCACTGCACACTGATATATTCTGGTGGCTCCAGTCTGTGGTATGCACCCTTAAACTGCTTATGCTGGTTAATATAACTAACATAATGAATGAGAGATGGGGAATGTATCACTTGATGACTACATGTTCTGTTCATTCCCTCTGGGGCACCTAGCATTGGTCACTGTTGGAAGACAGGATACTGGGCTAGATGGACCTTTGGTCTGACCCAGTATGGCCATTCTTATGTTCTTAATATGATAGACTTCTCCACATTTCTTTGTTTCCAGTAACCCAAATTTATACACAGATGAGCTCCGTTTGTTCACAATGCGATGGGGACCAAGCTATTGATGAAACAAGTTATGCTTTGGCATAGACTATGACAGATGCAGGGCCTAGTTTTCTATTCTTTTATTATTTTTCTTTTACTCATTTGTTAAAATAATTTTTGCTGTTTGTTTTGAGTTTCCCAATTCTTTAGCACAAATATACCTGTTTTAGATGCTTTTGCAGTTTTTGCATAAAGACATTATTTCTTACTTCCTTAACATGTGCATTACTAGTTTTCCATAATAAATATAGTGCTTGATGCTAAGACAGTGATCACAATGTTCTGTGAGATTAATTGCGCTCCTCCCCACCTACCACCAAGACACTCTTAACAAGTTAGCAACAGAATTTTTACCCAAGGTTCTTAGAGTTAATTTGTATGTTATAGCAATTAAACTTTGTTAATTATTTTAAAGCACAAACTTTTATAACAATACATTGTTAAACACAGCACAAAACAAAATAGTATAAAAATTAAAGCAAAATGAAGTTTAAATGAAGGTTTATATAACCCTTGAGGTTAATAAATTCTTATGACATTTGCTTGTGCTTGGGAGACAAAGACAGAAATCTGCTGAAATTTATTTGGTTAACTTTAACATTGTGCAACATAATGAGACAATATATATTGTTATAGCTTAAACACTTTGGTTATAAAATAATTTAACTATATTTTAATATTTAATAAAGGTGCAACCAAATTTATAACAAAAAAGTTATGATCTTATTAAATGTTGTTTTTGCATTGAGGCCTTTTCCCCCGTTTTAAAACATTTTATTTGTTTGCCGTTGAATTATTCTTTGAGACAGAAATATATGTACATATACTTATAAACTGACCCCATTTTGAACTTTGCAGAAAAAATGAAGTGGTATTATGAAGTGCAACCATAATATCAAAATAGTGTGGTACCACTAATGTTAAAAACATATATTTTTATAATTATGCGTGCAAAATTGATTTTGTTGCAACAAAACTGAAAAATATAGTAAAATAAAAGCAAGAAGTCACATGATCCACAAAACATAACACATAGGACAACATATGACACATAGGATTACTTACAATTAAAGACAAATGGTGCCAAAATTGTTATTTTTAAATATACAAGATGAAGCATTAAGAGTTAAAAAAGTTACTATGGCAAGGTATGCTACAAAACAAAAAGTTAAAAGAATTAAACAATTAGGCAGGTTGTTTTTTTTTTATTAAAAAACTTTTAATAAGAATTGATTAAAATCCCTATTTTATTTGCCCACTCAGTTGTATTAATTTAGTTAACTTAAGGCAACTTACATTACTTTACAATACTTTTACCTTAAGAATACTACTATACAGAAATAAGAAAAATCCATGTATATATTAATTAGTTAGTGTCTAGTTAAAAGAAAAAAGAGCAGTTTTAGGATCAAAAGCAAGTTAGCATTCTGTTGCTTGGCAACCATATCTTCTTTAGCTATTGATTTCCAGAAGGGTTAAAATTATTCATTTTACTGAATTTATTTAAAGTAAAGCTTTCACCTTTGGCATTTTGGTAATCTGTTTCTTTTAGTTTCTCGGTCTCTTTCTGCAATAGGGGTTTCTGTAATAACTATCACTTTTTAAATTGCAGGAAGGGAAGAAGTCACAGAATCGATATAGGAAAGGAAGTAGGCACAAGCCAAGGGAAATTAATTAATTCTGTGAGAAGCATGTCACATGCGTCTGACGAAGTGGGTATTCACCCACGAAAGCTTATGCTCCAATACGTCTGTTAGTCTATAAGGTGTCACAGGACTCTTTGTCGCTTTTTTACAGATCCAGACTAACACGGCTACCCCTCTGATACTTAATTCTGTGAGGGCATTCCAAAGCACAGACAGCAGCAGCGAGTTCAGCAAACTGAGCCATGTGAAGAATATAAAAGGAAAGGGGAGGATTTGACAGAGAAAGGACATAAAGAAAAAACTAGAACTGAAAGTAAAAATATTAGAGAGAGAAGGTTATGTCATCGGCTGGGAGAGGAGTGGTTCTGTGCATTTGGGAGGGGAGGGGGGAAGGAGGGCTGGGAGCCAGGACCTCTGGTTTTTATCCTGGCTCTGGGAGGAGTGTGGGGATTGCTACCTGTCCCTGCAAAACCTGTATTTGTTCCCCTAGTGCCTGCTGCTTTTGTCTGCACTCCAAATTGTTTACAGTAGTGCCCTTTCTTGCTTCGGTTAATAGATTGTGTGTCACTGTATAAACACCCATTTCTTTGTCTTCTCCCTTTTTTGCTTTTTCCCTCCATCTCCAATTTAAACAGATTACATACATGACTCCATGGATCACTTTTTGGATTGCCTTTAATGTGACCAAATCACTGCCATGGTCTGTTATGTACTGTATGATAACATGCTTTAAAACGTCCTGTTTCTCCCTTTCATTTGCTATGGCTTATATTTTTATATTTCTACTCGGTGTTTTAGCACAACATAGTGTTCTGTTGCAAATAGTGGCCACTTTAGCCTTTGCTTTATCTGGGTATTTTGCACAGAAAACATTTTACTTATAATTAATCTTTAAATATTCTTAAAATATGGCTTTATTATGGCACAGAAAGTAGTTTTTGCTTTCCATAATCTTTGTTAACCAGTTATTTGCCAAAGTAACACTTAATATAATTTCCCCCCGACTTGGCAAGGACTCCCAAAGTCCAACGTCTAGGAAACTGATACTCCAAATCCAACTGGCTAGCTCATGACCTCAGGACAAACGGGTTTGACTAATGCTTGGCTAATGTCCCCTGGCCTGGTTTGCCAAATTATTGATTAATGGTCTAACCAATTGATTTGACTACACTTATGGTTCATTATTAAGGGCTTGTCTGCACTTAAAATGCTACAGCTGCACCACTGTAATGCTTCAGTCCAGACACTATCTCAATGGGCGGGGTTCACCCATCAGCATAGGTAATCCACCTCCCAGAGAGCCAGTAGCTAAGGCAATGGATCAACTTAGATCAACTTAACAACGCCATACAAGGGAGTGGATTTTCCACCACCACCCCCGCCCGACTGACACAGTTAAACCAACCTAATCCTCCTGAGTAAACCAGGCCTAAGAATGTTCAAGGGACCAACTAAACAAGCCTAGCCAAATTTATTGCCTAAAGACAAAACAGCATAATATGAAGAAGAAACATACATACCCTCCTTCTGGGAAGCAATTCTTATCTCGCAGCATGTTCACCTTTCACAGAAGGTGTGCTTCAAAGATATGCCCTCAAACCCACTTCTATTTATAGTGTGATTGTTACAAGCTAAATGACCCATGTACGTCCAGTTAAAGTTTAAATGTAACCCACTAGTTTGTGCCAGCTTTGTCCTTGGTACCTCCCTATACTTTCCCATATCTTGTTCTGAATATTACATTCCAAGTGTTGATGAGCCAGGAAAGTACTCCCTAACTGCACTTGGTACAAGGTATTTATGCAGCTTTGCTTTGACAGGTTTCCTATTTTCTAATGCCAAAGCTGACTTCAGCTTTGCAGTGTTGTGGGATACTTGACATAGGTGAACAGAACTGTGGGAAGAGCATAATACAATCAGTTAACATAACTTCCCATCACCCATATACATAATGTATGTTATATTAATACCATGCACATAATACCTAGTAATGTAGTGTATGAGAAGCCAAAACAGATGTACTAGCTAACAAAATGATGACTCTAAAAAGGCAGAATGTGGACAGTGACATCGATCCTATTTTTGTTTTTAAAGATAGTCATGTCTTTTTGAGGAAAAAATAAAATTTAATATGAACCCCTCCTCGTACCATAAAAACCTTTCAGCATGTACAATTGTTTATTATTTTATACACATTTAAAATAAATGCCTATGCTCAAAGCGTGGAGAGCAACACCACATCTGTACTTAGCTTCAGGGGATTGACTAAAATGTTTGTTTTTTAAATTAAAATATAGAGACCATCATGTGCCACGAGCCAGTGAATTCAGAGGGCAAGACTAGCCCCTACCATTTACAGCTACAATCTTCATCTGTTTGGATTTACAGTCTGACAGCTAAAGTCACAAGCTATGCTGGGTCTGCTGGCTTCCTGCAAAAGAGTCTATACACTGTTCTTCACCCGCTCATAGATCCCATTCTCGTCAATGATCAACGGCGCATGAAATTCTTTGTTTTCCACATACTTTTCCAGACCCTAAAAGGAGAAAAATAGCTGCTGTTAAGAACCAGGTGACAACAGCCCAGTGGATTTAGCAGCATTAAGAATGGCTCTACCTGCCAACGGACAAGAGCTAGATACTTAACCAAGTGGGGTGAGCAAATTAAAGTGACGTGCCAGAGCAGAAAGCTTGGTTAAATAGTTAATGCTCTGGGCCCATCCGCATGACAACCTTTAACTGCAATATTGCAACCATCCTCTTAACCAGTTATAAGATACAAGGTTCTGTTTTGTCTGAAGGAGTGGCTCTCAGCCTTTCCAGACTACTGTACCCCTTCAGGACTCTGATTTGTCTTGCATACCCCAAGTTTCACCTCACTTAAAACTACTTGCTTACAAAAATCAGACAAAAACACAGACGTGTCACAGCACACTATTACTGACAAATTGCTTACTTTCTCATTTTTACCATATAATTATGAAATAAATCAACTGGAATATAAACATTGTACTTACACTGAAATGTATAGTATACAGAGCAGCAGAAACAAGTCACTGTCTGTATGACATTTTAGTTTGTACTGATTTCGCTAGTGCTTTTTCTGTAACCTGTTGTAAAACTAGGCAAATATCTAAATGAGTTGATGTACCTTCTGGAACACTGCTGCATACCTCCACGGGTACATGTACCCCTGGTTGAGAACCACTGGTCTAAACAGCAGGGCTCCTGCCATCACAGCTCTGGGAGCGTGTCCCATCTACCATGCTGCCCAAGAGTGGTTTTTCAGTGAGTTCTGGAGAAGTTTGGGCAGCTCTGACAAAGCGCTCCGAAGACATGTATGCAGAGCAGCATCTGCAGCAAGGTATTCTGGGATGTCCTCCTGCACAAGAAGGAACGGCCAAGCCAGAACATGGCTGGGGGCGGTCCCCATTTGCTCTGTCCCCAGTTGACCATATGGTACCAGTTACAGAAAGAAAACGTGTCAACCTGGGCCACCTTGCTGCCACGGTTCCTAGCCAAGTTTGGCCAATGCTGATTAGAGCAAGCCATGGCAGTAACCGGTTACCAGCTTGGTTAAAAGGCAGTGTGGACAGGACATAAGAGGTAAGTTGTACTGAACTGATGAGCATGTAATGCCAGCAGTCAAAGGGACTGCATTGCGTCCTGTGGACTGAATTGGTTCTTTCCAATAAATGCCAGCTTCAGATTCGCTGAGCTGGTCTTAATGAAACTCAAAGCAAGGGCTCTAAGCTGCACAGAGAATCCAGCAATACTCCCTTCAGCTACTGATGTGTGGCCTACATAAGAGCCAGCACCATCATGTACTGTAAGGTGTTGCAGAATTTTGATGCATCCAGTTTCAGTGGGACACACCAGTGACTGTAAGACTGTTCCGATAGCTGCAAACTAACTGCCATATTCACTAAGTAATAGCTGAAGGGGTGATATTTCCAGAAGGCCAAAGCACAGCTGCTTGCTCAGCAGATACAGAATGCAGATCCACTAGGCATGGGCAAAGTCAGGCCCTGACTAGACAAACACTCCACCTCCAGAGCATCAAGGATGTACCTTGCCTAACTCAGTAAAGCCTAGGTAACCTCACCGAGAAATTCTCGGTGTCTCTAATAAGCCAACTCTACCCCTCACTCCCTCCCCCTTCAATTACAGAATCTGCATAACCCCTCAGTCACCCGAAAACCTCATTAAGCTAGTTTACAAATGCATTTTCAGTTAGAAAGAAAGGGCGGGGGGAATAATACTTACTTCTCCACCATAGGAGATGAGAGGAGAGATTTCACACTGAATGGGCAAGTCGTTAGCATCCTTCAAACTAAGGCAGAAAGAGAAAAGTTGCGTTAAGAAACAGATGCTTCTAGTTGTGGTGACTATCAGTAAGAGCCCTGGAGAATTCAGCCCTTAAACACCAGCAGCCTTCAAGGTGCAAGCAGCTGCACTTTGTATATGCAGACTGTGTGTGTACACTAGCCCCTGATGCCAATGCAAGGGGCGAACACAGTATACTGAGGAACGAACATGGCTTGTACTCATGCACAGCCTTCCAATGCCTGGCTCATTCACAGATTCATCAAGCCTCAGCTGTGCATGCAGGATTAATGCTTGCTAAGCCTGAGACAGAGGCAGTGACTGATTGGGGAAGACCCAGTGAAGTGACATAGTGTGACCCTGTTCTCTTGTTCCCCATGATCAGCCCCTCCCCCATGTTATATCAGACTGCTTGTCTGTAAGGGTGCATGAGCTGTAGCCGTTTCAGGATGCCTCAGACTGTCTCTGGGGCATGCAGGGACTCCGGTCTAACATCAAGGTTTTTCTTAGTCTTAATTCAGAAGCTGGAGGTGTGTTTTATGCTTGTAAGTGGTGCATGTGCTGTTTGCTTTTTCTGACTGCAGCAATTGTTAGCAAAACTTTTTAGATGCAGCTCACCTTTTTTAACATGAAATTTCTACCAGGAAGCCACACGAGATGGAGAACTTCCCAAGCAGATATTTTGAAAGGCTTTAAAAAGTACTGATCTCCTGTCCACTGCTGTCCCATATTTAGTCACCATTGAGTGGTTCTCAGATCTAGTTTGCTCAATTTGTAAGTTTCTGTAAGTATCACCCCTGTACTTGAGGACCAGATACTACTTAGCATGAGTCAGGTGGTAGAAATGCAGTCCTCAAGCAGGCCCACATAGGGCTTGTCTACAGTTAAAATGCTACAGCGGCACAGCTGCACCACTGTAGTGCTTCAGTGTACACATTACTTACCCCAATGGAAGCTGTTCTCCCATTGGCATCAGTAATCCACCTCCCTGAGAAGCGGTAGCTAGGTCGACTTCCATCCACCTAGTGCTGTTTACACAGGGACTTCGGTCAGCTTAACACTGCTGCTCAGCCATGTGGATTTTTCACAGCCCTGAGCAATGTAGTTATGCCAACCAAATTTCCTAGTGTAGACCAGACCTAAATCAGTGAGGCTACTTCCAGAGCTAAGAGCTGCTCAACATGAGTTCGATGGCTGTGTTCTTTCTGTTTTGTGTTGAACAATGCTAATGCTGGCAGTGGCAGTCGTTACCTGATGCAGTGCAAGGGGGACAGAATCCTACTCTCTCTGGGAGGCAGCATGATCTGGGACTCAGGACACCTGGGTTCTATCCCGAGCTGTGCCACTGGCCTGGTGGGTGACCTGGGGCAGTCCCATCACATGTCTGTGCCCGTCTCCTGCCCCCCTTTGTTGTCTGGTTAGACTAAGACCTGCAGTAGGGCTTGGGCTGGCTCATTAAGTTTGTACAGCACCTAGCACAATGGGTCCCCGATCTCAGCTGTGGTCTTCCAACTGTTTCTGTAATACAAATATCAACTTGTACTGGTTCTGCAGGGCGGACGGTATCAAAAAGGGGTTCATATGAGAATTAAGTGGATTCTGGGTGATAGGAAACACGAGCAGTAGCCAAACTAAGATCTCTGGGAAGGGACTGATTTTTGGTGTTTGTATAGTACCTAGATCACATGGGTGTACCTTCTGGATTCTACTACAGTACAAACAGAAGGAGACCTCTCTTTAACCATACCCCATGTCAAAGCACAGCCAAGAGAGCCTCAGGAAATCTGTTTCTGTGACACTAGAACTCACGGCATCTCAGGACAGAAGTAGAGGAGGAAATATGCTGGAGAGGTTGGGGGAAGGGGAAAAAGGATGTGGTCGCTATGTGTGAAGGGCCGGGACATAAGCATGTCAGACTCAGCAATTCCACTCTTTATGTGGCCGGGCACGTGTAGGGCTATGCTGATTATTAAATGAGACCTCAGGAAGATCTAGCATATCTAGCAGTGTTCACTGTTGTGGCACCCTCTCCCATGCCTTACCTGTTAGGCGGGAATGGAAAAGTTTGAATTCAAGCTGCTGGACAAGTTGACCACAAGGTACTAGAGCACTCTCAGTGTGTTGCTCTGATGAAAGGTGAAGGGGTTGGATGTTTTCCCTTCGTTTACTGATTTTATCTTGCCCAGCTTCACAGTGACTGACGTCCTTATCACCTGACATAGATCAAGCAGTTAAAGAGGGGAGAGGTGTGTCTTTCTCTCTGCCCAGTTCTTAGCTCCCAAACACTCCATCTTCACCCGAGGGAATTCTGCGCCAAAAAATTAAAAATTCTGCACACAATATTTAAAAATTCTGCATATTTTGTGTGTCAAAATAACACAATAAAATCACATCATTTTCAATTATTTGCTGACAAGTATTAAATTACCAAAATAATTGAAATGGTGTGTGTTAGTTTGACAAATAAAATATGCATAATTTTAAAATTTTTAATGTTTTGGTGCAGAATTCCTTCAAGAGTACCAGGGTTTTGTGTGGCACCATCTGGGTGCAGGCAGCTCGGTGGAGGGGATCTGGATGCACAGGGGCTCGTTGGGGGGTTCTGGGTGCAGGGGGAATGGAACTCTGCAGTGGAGTCCCGGTGAAGGTGGTTATGGCTTGGGGGGAGGTGGGGTGTCTTGGTGCTGGGGGAGTGGGGCTCAGGATGCAGCTGGTTGGGGCTCAGTGTGGCAGGGGTCCAGGTATGGAGGGGCTCAATTCAGGGGATGTGAGACTGGGGAGGTGGGAGTTTGGGAGTGGGGAATTGGGGGGGGGGGGTCTAGGGGGGGGGGGGGGGGGGGGGGGGGGGGGGGTGGGGGGGGGGGGGGGTGGGGGGGGGGGGGGTGTCCAGCTGCATAGGGAATGGGCAGACAGGAGGAGCAGCTCCCCGTACAGTGACCCCTCCCCCAGTGGCTGAAGAGTCATGGGGCCAGGAAGTGGGGAAGGGGTCACTGTACAGGGAGCTGCTCCCCCTGTCTGCCCATTCCCTATGCAGCTGGACACCCCCCCAACCAAACCTTGCCCTGCCCAGACCCGGAACCCCCACCATTTTTCTGTGGAAAAGCAAAGAGAGAGGGAGAGAGAGAGAGAGAGAGAGAGTGTGAGTGTGTGTAGGGGGGGGAACATGTTTCTGCAGGCGTGCAGTGGTGCAGAATTCCCCCAGGAATAGCATTTAAATGAATCACAGAAGCAAGCAGCAAGTCTGAATGACCACTGTCTCCCAAAGAGTCCAAGGCAGACCTTCTCCCAAACATGTACAGTACAAGGCTCATGTGGCAAATAGCCCCAATTCCTAACGTTCTAAGGAAACTGTTTTCCAGTTAGTTTCCCTAGTGTGAGGCCTGAGATGATGAACACTGAAGAGGATGGTCTCCATTTATGGCTTGAAATACACAGACTCTCTGGAAGTACAAGTTCAAATGCCAGCAAGCTCAGCTGGGCCCGTACATGGTAGCTAGAGTTCCAGCCAGTCTCTGGTGCAGGAAGAACAGTTTGACAGAAGGCCACAGCCAACCCCTGCCTACTTTGCAAGGACCTGAAGAGCTCCCATGCCATTTTTACATGGTTCGTTCTCTCACCTTTTCCCAGTGTGTATCGGATTCAGATCCACTTCCTAGAGAGAAAGACAGCACAGCCACAGAAGGGCGCTGAAGTCTTTCCTGGCTCCTGCATCAGCAAAACTGTAAACCCAAATTCCAACTGCCAGGCTAAGTTCTGCCTCAAGTTACACCACTCAGTCTCATTGCTGAGAGGAGCAGTAGGAATTAACACACACAGGCCTGGACATGAGACAGGTCCCGGCAAGAACACAGAATATTATAAATCATTGATTTTGGATCTAGCTACCGTGAGAAGCAACAGATACAGGATTCTTTAGCAGGACATGCTCTCCGTTTCCCAGCATGCACCCTCGCTACCATTCTGTTAGTAGCTCCCAATCAGAAGCCAGTCACCATGAAAGCAGTGCACACCAACCAGTGCGAACTGCCACTCACCAGGCACCTGGCCTTGCAGTGAAATGCAGAGCCTGTTAGTACCTAAGCATAGCCCCATCACCATGCATGATGCACACAGCCTGGCACTGGATATTTACTTGCAATTGACATCAGCTGTGATGGCATCTGGCTTTCCACTTGTGAAGCTGTTACGTGGGAATAAATAAGGGTTAAAGAGGACGGAAACAAACTGAAACGGAACTAAACCAAGTTAGGAGGTAAAGCTGTTCATCAGCCCCTTCCTGGAACCCCCTAGTAGTGGTGGCTGCGGTGAAGAGCTGGTGAGGGGGATGGCCAGCAGCAGAGAGCACAATTGCTGGCAAGGATACATTATAACTCTAGCTGCTCCTTAGGATGGGCTGTGTGGTGGAGAACTCCAGTAACCTCTTCACTGTATTGAACAAACTCAGGCCAACTGCCTGAGCTGGTCAGGAGCCAGGGGAGGGCAGCTCACACCAGCAAAGTTGCGTGCAGCTACCCTTAATGCAGAGGTCGGCCTACAGGAGACTAGGTATACACAACTGATCTCTGCAGGTTGCACTTCCGCCAGTAGCAGTGGCCATGGACCACATGGCAGAACTCCACAAGCCATATTTCACTTGTGGGTGGCACTCTGACCACCACGGAGTAGTGACCAATTAGCCATCAGTTCCAGGTAACGAGTCTGCATAGGCTCTCAAAGGATCTGTTTGCTCGTTACTGAATGGTTGCACAGCGGCTGGGAACTATTTGCTAATATTTTCTCTGCTCTGAATCCATGGGATGAAAAGAATTCTCTTCAGTGTACAGACAGACCAGTCACTGTCCCCTACTCAAGACAGGTGCTCAGCTGAGTAACAGAACAGTACATCAACTGGACGACACGAGTCACAAGTGGCCAAGCCTCTCCAGAAGGAACCTTTAAACCCTGAGGGCAGGAAGAATGCTCCCCGGTAGGACAGCCAATGGGGCGCCCTGGTGTTCCCAAGGCTAGATCACAAACTGGGAATGAAATGTCTCTGCTCTGATCCCACCATTGAGACGGTAAAGGAGCCTGCTCTGTGAGGATGGAGCAGAGGTAGGGCAGCTAACAACAACTTACCGGGGAATCGCAGGGATGCGGGTGCCATTTTCATCCACAAAGTGGCCCCCAGCATTGAGGACCCAGCAATGGTGCAGCGACATGAGGGCATGTCGGGCAGTGGTGGGGTTGTCTTTCCCATTCTGACTGTCTGCATTCTTCAGAGGAGAGAACTCATCTTCACGCAGCACTTCGTACACCACAAACTGTCTGGAGCGGGGATAAGGCAGGGAACAGCTTGGTGTCAAAGAGAACAGCTTTGCTACAGATTCCCTTTATTCTCGCTTCTCTGGAGCTGAAAGGAAGCCTCCCCTCTTCTCTCCATCCCAGAGACTTGTCAGCAACCGGCAGCACAGATAATGCCAGTGGCGTCACAATTAGCTCCTCTGGGCCGAGATACTGCACCCACTCAGTCTGTAAAGTCTGTAGCCACTTAGGCCTTACAGCCCTGAGCCTGTGTCCCCTGCTCTGAGCGTGGGGAGTACAGTAACTCCTCACTTAACGTTGTAGTTATGTTCCTGAAAAATGCGACTTTAAGTGAAACGATGTTAAGTGAATCCAATTTCCCCATAAGAATTAATGTAAACGGGGGGGTTAGGTTCCAGGGCAGCTTCCCCTACTCTGCAAGCACCAGGGGCGGGGGGGCGGGGGGCCTCAACCCTCAGCCTGCCCACTCCACCCCTTCCCCCAAGCCCCCACCCTTGACCCGCCTCTTCTCCCCCCCCCCACCTCCTCCCCCTTTACTTCACACGCTGTGTCCTGGCTCCTCCCCCCTCCCTCCTAAACGCTGCAAGCCAACTGATTGCCACGTTCAGGAGGCAGGGGAGGGAGGGGGAGCCTGTGCACCGAGTCCTCGCTCCCCCCGTCTCCAAAACACGGCAAGCCAGCTGATTGCTGCCGGCAGGAAGCAGGGGAGGGAGGGGGAGCCTGCGCGCTGAGTCCTCCCTCCTCCCCCCTCCCTCCTGCCCAGGGCAATCAGCTGGCTCGCTGGGTTCGGGAGGCAGGGGAGGAAGAGGGCGCCTGTGTGCCGAGTCCTCACTCCTCCCCCCTCCCTCCAAAACACCGCAAGCCAGCTGATTGCCACCAGCAGGAGGCAGGGGGAGGAGGGGGAAGGTGCTGATCCGCGGGGTCTGCCAGCGGGCGGGAGGCGTGGGGGGGGAGGGGCGTAGGGAGGCTGCCAGCTGTGGAGAAAGCAGACAGCCAAACAACGTAAGAGTCGAGCATTGCACAACTTTAATTGGGTATGTTCCCTAATTGACCAGCAACGTAACAACAAAACAACATTAAGCGGGACAACTTTAAGTGAGGAGTTACTGTACAACACATTTTCCTTGTTGCTGGAGGTGGCTTTTGTCAGTCCAGAGACTACTCTGCTCTGACAAGAGCTCCATGATTCAGGCTGTTCCCAGCCCAGGCCAGGCTGTTCCCAGCAGAGGATGTGACTGAGATGGCTGGCAATGCACCAGAGGGAGTTCGAGAAGCTTCTCATCCCAATTCCAGGAGAATGGCCTATCTCAGAAGGTTTCTGGTCCCACTCCCCAACCTGAGGCAGGGAGTGACAGCAGCCCACAATGGGAGACCATGTGGGGGCTGGAGCGGGAAGCATAGAACTTTCCAACCCTGCCCTACTGCTTCCTTTCTTGGCTAAAGGGCAGTGCAGAGTGCACCAGACAGAGGTGACAGGGCAGCTGCCAGCCTGCAAGGAGGCAAACGAACAAACCAGGGAACAAAGCCTGGGCAGAACTCAGAGCAGGACTGGGCACCAAAACTGGCTCTTGCAGCTGGACCCCGAGTCTTTATCTGTACAGGCCAGTCACCACAGTCAGCCCTCCTCAACACTGTGCTGAGAGCCACGTCATCTGCATGTGACAGCGCAGCTTCCTACACGGTTTGTAATGGAATCCAGAGTGTAACTGCACTGGGGGAGGAGCCCTGTGACCAAGCCATGTTGTCCTTGTTGGGAGACCACTGCCGCTGAGCGGCCGAGTCCGTGCTCGGTTATAGCATACCAACACCAATACAGTAATTGCCAGTAACACCTGGCATACCCAGCTCCTCCTTGGAGCAGCCCCAGAAGAGGGTACAGCAATATTCTACCATCTGAGTAACAAGCAGCAGAGCCCAGGGCATACTTGGCAAACTGGAAGATGTCAAAGACAAACTTCTCCATCTTGATGCCATTCGGTTTGTCTGGCTTGACCAACTGCCCACTGGTGATGTCCACGTACGGAATCTTCTTCTGGGCCACGTGGTGCTTCAGCTGAGGTTCGTAAATGCTGGCAGGGCAAGAAAGAGGAGTCAGAACCTCCTACAGTTAGAAGGCATGGTCTAGCCGCCACTGTCCTCTAGTCATTCTGGCCAAGGAGCAGCTGGTAATGATGGGGGTGTATCGTCCTCCCAGCTGCCTCCTCTTTTGGTCCTCCAGCTGCCTGCACTTTGCTTGCCCTATGGCCAGAATACAAAAAACCAAACTCCCTACAACCTGCCCTCCTCCTGCTGTTGGTGCCCATTTAATGCCCCCTGGATCAAACCATTCTGTTCCCCTCTTCCCTAGCTTCTGGGAGTGTTGGCAGGCTCACAACCTTCTCTGCAGGTTGTGCAGCTGGAGTGGAGGAAGCCCAGGTACTCCAGTGCTTCCGCCTCCTGCTGAAAGACAGGAGAGCAGAGCAGAGCAAACTGTTGGACAGAGCACGAGAGGGTGACAAAGCATGATGCTGATACTCCAGGCCCGGTGCTGTGCACACGATGCTCCTGAGGGATTTGTGGAGGGGAAGAAGTTCATGTACAGGGCCAGATCTTGGCCCTTGCCTCAGTGCTTTGTTGGCTGCACATATGCATCCTAGTGCCTGTTATTAATCTTGCTAGACAGTCCAGTTGGGTTTCAACCCTTGCTAATTGTGCTTTAGTTTCTAGAAGCAGTTTTTGTTTTGTTTCCTTATTTACCTGTCAGTGACCGTCCCAGTCCAAATATTCCCAGCCCCAGCAGCCACCTCCCAGCTGCCCCACACCCACAAAACAATATGCTCCATTTACATTAAGAAGTGAAGCAATATTAACCAGTCCCAGTCTTGCCAGGGGCAGAGAATGTATAGAGGTGATGGAAAAGAGAATTTAGGGGGTTGAGAGCAAGAGGAACTATTCTAAAGTGGCGAGACATCTGGAGAATAACAGTGTGATGTCTGCTCCAAGGAGCGCCAGCTTTCGCTATGATGACCATGTGAATAGACATGCTAGAAGGCCACCTGAGGCTACAATAATGGCAACAATGCATACTGCAGCTGGTCCCTGCTCAGTAATGACAGCTAGGGCTTCTGCCAGTAGTGCAATATAGTCAGGGCAGTGAGGGACTGTGGGCCTGGGGACAGGTGTTACAATTCATTCCAGACATAATGGGAGAGCGTTCATCATGCCCGGACTCTCAGCCGTCCTGTCTGCAAGGATGTAAGTGGCTTTTGTTCCCAGGTGGCAGGGGGTCCCAACCTCACCGAAGCAGGAACCTAGTGAAGGCAGAGGTAGTTTGCCATTTTACCCACGTCACTTTAGGGCGGGGGTTTGGATTGCTGGTTCTGAGAGCTGTCTCTATAGCGAGAACAGCAGCAGCAGGGTACTTTACCTATCTTGCACACTGAGGTTGATTTCTACTTCCTGAGGGGTGCCACAAAGTTCAGAGAACAGCCTCATTCTGACCAGAGATGAAAGTCTCCTGCCTTCCACCATTTAGCTTGGACTTTACCACACATGGTGAGCGTGAACACAGCCACTGGGCTGCTGCTGAGGTAAGGTGGTTGTGAAGAAAGGGGCTAGGAGGAGAAATACTAGTGCCAGAAGGAGACACTCAGGCCCCACCCCTCATCCTACTTTGCTCTGGGAAAGCTGCAACCCCTGTAGTGTTTAACAGAGTGATATGCTGCCCAAGAGCTTTTGCCTGATTGCAATAGGACCAGGCTAGATTTCCAAGTCCCAGCTCTTCTCTTTGGCACTGCACTAATACACAGCCCCTGGTCCAAGCTTGCCCGTACTTGATAACATCTCTCAGAAAGGGCACTGAGAGGTAGTGATTGGCAATGTTGCCTGCGTTGAACAGCAGCCGGCCATCGGAACTACGTTTCTGTGCTGTGGCCAGGGAGATCTCGCTGTACTCCACCACCTGGTACATGCCATCCACTCTGCACACCACGCCCACTGGCTCCATGGGGTTTGTCTTCTCCACCACCTGCCCAGAGAACACACACAGGAGAACTCAGATGAAAGGGCATTTGTCCGGGAAGTCCCTGTAAGGGGGTGAAGTGGGTTACCACAGCCAGTGCAGAAAGGGGCACGAGTGGGAGCACCTCGCACAGGGGTTCACAACTTTTACACTGGCTTTTAGGTGATGCTTTTGTCCTTAGAAAGGAAAAAAAAGAGAGGATAAATCAACCCTCTTTATCCCAATCTGTTCTACAGCTCTGCCCCCTCCATCCAAGCCCTGTCCCCTACATGTGCTTCCCTGGCACCTGCCCCTCTCCCTCACAGGCTATCCAGTCCTCTGCTTCCTTCTCCCAGAAACATTGTTCTGCCAGGAGAGGATTTCACTCCCACAGACAGCTCCTCTCCTGTGGCAGCATCTGGTGCACCTAGGGTGACCAGACGTCCCGATTTTATCGGGACTGTCCCGATATTTCCTTGTTTGTCCTACGTCCCGACCGATGTGTGGTCAGGACACTGGACAAACAAGGAAATGCTCCGGAGCCCGGAAGTGCATGCGCCCCCCCCCGCCCGACTCCGCCCCCTCCTTCCCCCATTGGCTCCCTTCCCGAATCCCCGCCTCTTCCCCAGGCTCACCCTTCCTCCTCCCTCCGCAAGCTCTGGAGGGAGGCCCCGGAGATGCAGGGGAAGCGCAAGGCTGGGGTGAGTGAGAGTCCGGCCTGGCCCCGAGCAGGCAGGACTCAGTCGGGCGGTAGGGAGAGTAGGGGGGCGGCCCGCGGGGCCAGGTTGCGGCTGTTCTCCCCCTCTGGGCAGCGGGACTCGGGAGCAGCCGCTGCTGCAGCTCCCACTGCCGCGGGGGGAGGAAGCGGCCATGGCGCTCGGCGGCTGCGGCTCTGGTGCCCGGGCCCGAACCCCCCGAGCCCGGGCCTGCTGCGGGGACCCAGCAGCGCGCACGCTGCGCCCAGCCCCTGGCCAGTCGCGTCTGGGCTGCTGCCCAGCTGGTGCAATCCCGCGGCGGCCCCGGAGTGGGGGCAGCAGGCCCCAGCCCCCCCGTCCCGCTCGGGTCCTGCAGGGGAACGAACGGGGCTGGGCTGCCGATGCCTCCGCCCCGGGGCCGCCACGGGATTGCACCAGCTGGGCAGCAGCCCAGACGCGATTGGCCAGGGGCTGGGCGCAGCGTGCATGCTGCTGGGTCCCCGCAGCAGGCCCGGGCTCGGGCGCCAGAGCCGCAGCCGCCGAGCTTGGCCATCGCCCGCTTCCTCCCCCCGTGGCAGTGGGAGCTGCAGCAGCGGCTGCTCCCGAGTCCCGCTGCCCAGGGGGGGAGAACAGCTGCCGCCTGGCCCCACGGGCCGCCCCCCTACTCTCCCTACCGCCCGACTGAGTCCTGCCTGCTCGGGGCCAGGCCGAACTCTCACTCACCCTGGCCCCGCGCTCCCCCTGCATCTCCTGGGCCTCCCTCCAGCGCTTGTGGAGGAAGGGGTTTTTGTTTTTGTTTTTTTTGCCCCGCCCCCCCGCGTCCCGATATTTGACTTGGGTGATCTGGTCACCCTAGGTGCACCAGACGAAGGACAGAATACTGCTGTCTCCCTCCTGCTACGGGGACTGGCTCTGCAGTTGGTAGGACACTCCATGCTCACATTGCCCATGGAGAATCAACAGAGGACATGGAGCTGGGGAGAGAAAACGGAGCAGCGAGTGGCTTGCCCTTCGGGCTGCATTGCACAGGAGCTGAATGAGACTGTCTAGCCACACTGAAACAGGCCTTGCCCACAAGTGTCATCTGCGGAGGCAGCAGGTCTCCGACTGCTCTCTGTGGCAGGCTGGCCACTCACCTTGGTGCTGAACACTAGAGAATCTGGGCCAGCTATTGGAATATGAAAGAGCTCAGCTGCTGCCTTGGGCTTTCTAAAAACTTGGTCCCGGCTGTGGGTGCTGAGCTTTCTTAGACGCGGCTCGTGGGGCTAGCTCCCCCTTGTGCTCTTCGTCAAAAGAGGCTGGATGCAAATAAAAGTGGCTTGGCAGGAGGGGATTTCCTAGGAATGGACGCAGGCATGCCCTGAAGGCCCTTCCACTGAGATCTTTAGTTAGAGATGGATACGGTAAGTCACAGCAGACACGGCTTTATATCCCCAGAGAATCTGGTGTTCGGTAGTGGTGAGGAGTGCATGGGAAGCCTCGTGTGGCACTAGAGAAGAGTCTTACAGCGTAAAGCTATGTGTCCTACCACTAGGGCACTCCCCACACAGAACTACAAACTACCAGGTCCCTCCTTGGATGAGTCTCCTTGCCTGCATGGAATCTGAAGGCCATTCTGGTGCAAACTGAAGTGTCTAATCACAAGTGCTTTGGGAGGATCATGGGGGCTAGCACAAGCTGCACTGAGACATGGGCCAGAATCAAATCACTGCAGCCAGCCAAGCAGCAGGCAGTCACCCCCTCCAACACGACAGTACTCAGCCGTGTTTAGAAAAATCAGAACTCTGTAGAGGTTCACATATCCCCCAGAGACAGCATATGGTACCAGGCAGCACTAGAATGCGTATCAGGTATTGTATTATGTCCAGGCTTCCATTATAACCCATTATTTTCAAATGTCCATCACCTCCGGAAATATTTGCTTTTGTATGAAGTTTCCCTTGCCTGATCTCAGCCCAAACAGTGGAGTTTGAGCACAATTTCTTCCTCCCTTCAGTTTGGCAAAAAATGAGAAAAAACCCACAACGATTGTGGTCGACCTTCGCAGACTGACACCTTTCAAGCAGCTACTCCTCACTGAGTGTTAGAGTATGGCTACACTTGCAGCTGTACAGCGCTGTGAGTTAAACCTGTCTTCGTACAGCTGAGTAGGGAAAGCGCTGCAGTCTGTCCACACTGCCAGCGCACTGTCGTGGCCACATTTGCAGCATCTGCAGCGGCATTGGGAGCGGTGCATTATGGGCAACTATCCCAGCGTTCAGGTGGCTGCAATGTGCTTTTCAAAAGGGTGGGGGTGGTGTGGAGTGTGACAGGGAGCGGGGGGGAGAGAGAGTGGGTTTTTGAAGTGCTGAGAGTGTCAGCAGGCTGCCTTGTAAGTTCCGACCCCCCTCCCTCCTCCACCCCCTCTCACTCACTGAAAGCAAACAGCAGCTGTTTTTTTTCCTCATAGACCAGATAAGCAGCTGCTCAAAACGGAATCGAACCCCCTCCCTGCCTCTCTCTTCAAGCAAACATTAGCTGTGGGCGTTCCAAAGGGAGCCCCCCTGCCTGCCTCTACTCATTCACAGCAAACAGTAGCTGTGTTTGTTTTTTTGATAAGCAGCTCCCCAAACGGAGCCTCAGGAGTTCACAACAAAACAAAGAGAGGAAGCTTCAGTTAAAAGGATTATGAGGAGTTTCTGGAGGTCAATCACCGGTAATAAGGTTACTCCCCGTTAACACTGGAGCAGCAGCATCTCAGCCACTCCGCAGCAGCTGTTAATCCTCTCGGGGAGGTGGAGTACCTGCAGCACTGTAGCCATGGAGATACAGCGCTGTACCTGCCTTGCCAGTGTGGACGGGGAGTGAGGTATAGCGCTGTGGGTGGCTATATTGCGCTGTAACTCTCAAGTGTAGCCAAGGCCTTAGTCTCCAGCCTCACTTGCCAAACACAGTCCAATTGAAAACTGCACTGTTCAAAACCAGACGCCCAACTCTTATCCCCTGTACAGCTGTGGAGTTTGTGCAGCTATTTCAGCAAGATCCCATTTTTGCACATACTTTCAACCATGCAACTGTGGAAATACCTAGTGCAGGCCACAAAGGCAGCTTAATGTTAAATATGTTTGCTTTTTTTAAAAGGGGGAGAATTAAAATACTGCTCATCTAAGGTAAGCTTTGTGAGGGAACCTGGAGATTCCACCTTCTTAGTGTCAAAGAAATTGGGTTCAAAAGTGATTGCTAATATAAAGTTAAGATTGAGCAGATGATCAGCTGTGCCAGGGCCCAGGACACAAATAATGAATTCTTATTGGCTAGAGATATGTAGTGGCCAGGCAAATAAATTCCTCAAGGCAGAGATTTTCCAAAGCTGGCCACTGAGAGGAATTTAATGCACTCTTGCCATTAGTTTAAATGGGCATGGGGTAGCTAAGCCCATAAGAACATAACATAAGAACGGCCGTACTGGGTCAGACCAAATGTCCATCTAGTCCAGTATCCTGTCTACCGACAGTGGCCAATGCCAGGTGCCCCAGAGGGAGTGGACCAACAGGCAATGATCAAGTGATCTCTCTCCTGCCATCCATCTCCATCCTCTGACAAACAGAGGCTAGGGACACCATTCCTTACCCATCCTGGCTAATAGCCATTAATGGACTTAACCACCATGAATTTATCCAGTTCTCTTTTAAACGCTGTTATAGTCCTAGCCTTCACAACCTCCTCAGGTAAGGAGTTCCACAAGTTGACTGTGCGCTGCGTGAAGAAGAACTTCCTTGTATTTGTTTTAAACCTGCTGCCTATTAATTTCATTTGGTGACCCCTACTTCTTGTATTATGGGAATAAGTAAATAACTTTTCCTTATCCACTTTCTCCACATCACTCATGATTTTATATACCTCTATCATATCCCCCCCTTAGTCTCCTCTTTTCCAAGCTGAAGAGTCCTAGCCTCTTTAATCTCTCCTCATAAGGGACCTGTTCCAAACCCCTAATCATTTTAGTTGCCCTTTTCTGAACCTTTTCTAGTGCCAGTATATCTTTTTTTAGATGAGGAGACCACATCTGTACGCAGTATTCGAGATGAGGGCGTACCATCGATTTATATAAGGGCAATAATATATTCTCAGTCTTATTCTCTATCCCCTTTTTAATGATCCCTAACATCCTATTTGCTTTTTTGACCGCCTCTACACACTGCGCGGACATCTTCAGAGAACTATCCACGATGACTCCAAGATCTTTTTCCTGACTTGTAGCTAAATTAGCCCCCATCATATTATATGTATAATTGGGGTTATTTTTTCCAATGTGCATCACTTTACATTTATCCACATTAAATTTCATTTGCC